TCCTATTTTCCTACTTGCATTTTTTACCTGCTTTCGAACTGCTAGGTTGGCAGAAGCCGGGACAAGTCACAGGAGCTCACTCCGTTAACGCAGTGCTAGGGGATTCGAACTGCCGACCTTTCTGATCGACAAGCTCAGCCTCTTAGCCACTGAGCCACCACTATGGTCTATGGAGATACCTGTCTGCATTTCTGCAGGTAGTCTGCAAGTTGTGGTGTCTGTCTGGAAAAGGGGCCTTTAAGGTCGCCAAAGAGCCAAGATTCCCCTGACCTGGAGCTCTGGGAATGGTCAGGGGGGGCTCCTCCGTTCTTCAGGGGGGCCTTCCAACAGCCAACACTCCCTGCACACACACACAACCATCCCTCTGTCTGCACATCGGCCCCAGGGCGAGGGAGGGGCCTCCCCGTTGGGCTCAGCCTTCCTCACCTTAAAATAGGGGAAATGCTCCTTCATGAAGCCGTAGATCTCACTCACGGGGAGGCTGCCCGTCTTGCTGTTCTTCAGGGCCATGGCGATCAGGCAGCTGTGGAGGGACGGGGGAGGCTCAGCTGCCCAGCCGCCTGCAGCGTGCCCGGACCTCACCTCTACCCATTCCCGGGAAAGTGTGGGGGGGTGTTCCCCTCCTTGCGCCGTGGGCCCCCGAGTCTTACTCACCTGTAGGAGTAGATGGGCTTGGGGTAGTGCTTGGCATGCATCTCTTGGGCTGCATGGGGGGCCAGGCGGGGCTGGGAGAAGTGGGGGTGGGCTCCGTAAGAGGTGCTGTAGATGGTCACTGGGTTGCACTGTGGCCGAAGAGAGAGAGAGGGAGGAGACCGAGTGAGGCCCTCCTCAGGGGAAAAGACAAAGCAGGGGGACGAAAGTGGGCTGTGGGGATGTGGCCCCCTCCCTGCAAAAGCTGCCCGGAACACCTCAGTGCATCCATGCCCCCCCCCCCTAAGGCAACCATCGGCAAGGGGCTTGGTGGTCCCCACAAATTACTTTAGTCTAAATGGAGGAGGGGTCCGGCAGCTGGAGGGGAGGGTCCCTGGCCCCTGCCCACTCTGCAGTTGGTTTTCTTAATAAGGGAACAGGGAGGCGCCTGCCCTGAGTGGGGGTCTGCCTCCTTTTCAGCCGTGCCAGGGAAGGGAGAAACAGGCCAACGCATTTGCCCTCTGGGGGGTGGCTGGGAGACCCATCAGCCTCGGCCAGTGGGGAGGAGGCCAAACCAAAGGCCGGGGGCTTCTGTGGCATGGGTGGCCACCAACACCCCGGCTCCACGTTCTTCTTGCTGGTGCAGAGATTGGAAAGGAAGCCCCCGCTAGGAGAAGGGCCTTCAGGTGCCCACCCACTCTTTTCAGCTGGAGGCTCCAGTCACCTCTGAACCCTTTCGCCCACCGGTTAAAGCCCTTTCCTTGCACTGCCTGGATGTTCGGGTACAAGCACATGTGCACAGCTGATCCTACAGCTGTTAGACCTTCACACAGGGTGACAACTAAGTTGTGGCGAGGTTCCTGACACAGACACACACATCCAAAGCCGGGAGCCGTACCTGCTGCGTGCTGTGCGTGATGGTGAAGATCTGCTGGGTGTGGCAGGAGGGAGGAGGGAAGAGTGGGGACGGCTGAAGGCTGGGGGACGGCTGCCCCCCCACCATGTACTGACTGATCTGGGGGGGGGAAGGGAGAGAAACCAAAGCATCAGTTGCGCAGGGCATCAAACCCCTCCCCCCCCGGGGCCGTTAACGAGGGAGGGGGCCTGTTCTTACGTCACTTTCGTGGGGCGAGATGGTGTTAAGTCCCAGGATGTTTGGAGACAGGCTGGCTTGAATGTGAGGCGTCGCTCTTGGGGGCCCCGAGCTGTGCATGGCACCTGTCATCGAAAAGCAGCAAATGATAACAGTTCTGGGCAGTGGTGAAATCCACATTTCTTTACGACCGGTTCTGTGGGCGTGGCAGGGGAAGGATACTGCAAGACCCCCATTCCCTCCCCACTCCGGGGCCGGTCAGAGGTGGAGTTTGCCGGTTCTCCAGACTACTCAAAATTTCCGCCACCGGTTCGCCAGAACCTGCTGGATTTCACCCCTGGGCTGCTCTCAATCCCCCCCTCCCCACCCAAAAAAAGCTCTCCGTGGGATCTACAGGCCTGCATACCCACTGATCATCGCAATGGGGCTTATTGAACCCAAGTCAATGCTGGTTTTACACCCTTCATTTGCTTTTTTGTGCTTTAGCCACTAGGCAACACAGCACAGTGGGGTCAACGCGACGGAGTCCCGACAATTATTTAATTAATTTGTATGCCGCCCACTCTCAAAGAGACTCAGGGCGACACATGAAAGGGTCAAGGAGTTTTTCTACCTGTCTGCTGCAGGACCACATTCTGGGAGGTGATGCCGAAATCCATTCTTTCGCTGGTCATCTGCTGCAGCCGAGGGACGTCCACGGAGGTCAGCCACGAAAGGGACTGCAAGTCGCCGGGGAAGTCATCTTCGCTCAGATGTGAGGGGTCGGAGCCCAACAGTCTGCAGAGGAATAACGTGGTTTTAGTGGCTGCCTTGCCCTGGCCTGTGTGAAGGTAAGATGGCACCTATTCTGACAACGTTTTTATGCCAGTTTCTGACTACGTTGTTATGCCCGCAGGGTCCGCTGTCTGGGACCCTCCTGCGTAGGGAAGAGAGCAAAGATATGAAGAAGGAGAAAAACTTTCCTACTGTGCAGAGAACGATAATACTTATAGGCCTAAAGTTAGAGCACTGTGTACCGAATTTGTCCTGAGAATAAACCTTTTGCGTGTTGTTTCTAAAACTCCTGTTTCTGCTCCAGCAAAGTCATGCTAACTCCAGGTTCGTGTGGCGCTCGGAGCCTGCTGGAGTTGCACAACACAGCAGCGCCAGAAACAAACAATTTAAAACAGCCAGAAGGGTTTAAAATAAATCTGGGATATTAACAATGCCTTCTTTTTTTCCCCCCCAGAAAGTATACTTATATTTATTGTTAACCTTGCATTTTATACCTTCAAACAGAGATCTTATTCCTTCATTTTTCAACAAAGCATCGCTGCCTATATATACCAGTTTTCATTTGTTCCCCTATTAGAATTGCTTATCAGCAGCGAAATATCATTATAATGATTTCTTAACCTTATACATTATATCCCCAGACCTTCTATTAATACTTCATTGTGTCATTGTTAGATTATTTCACAGCAAAATTATATCATCATTTACTTTCTTCAATTAAGGCATAAGTATATCATTTTTTTTTATTTTTTTTTTAATTAAATGTTTTTTAATTTTAGTTTGAAACAGGTATAGCATCTTTCTTAATNCCGTTTTTGCTGCAATGGTCTCCTGCACCCCTCTGCCAATGAAAACAGAGCTGGAGGAGACCATGCGTGGACCTCCCAAGCCCCATTTTTTTCTGGCAAAGGCACCACAGGCCAGTCCTTTGCTGTTTCCAGGGTGGCCCCATAGGACAGATCTAAGCACTTCATGGTCCGGATCCAGCCCCCAGGCTTTGAGTTTGACATCCCTGATTTAGGTTTAATGCAGTCTGAACTTTTAGGAGCCTGTGCACTCCACATTGTATAGAATAGAGGAAAGACTTTTTTTAAATGCAGCATATGCATTGTCACTCTTAATTCCTTAAAGTCAATTTGATCTGCAAAAGTAAACAGAACAGAGTGTACAAGGAATTTAAACATGAGACAGTTTAATATTGGTTACATTGGATACATTACCAGTGTCTACATTCTAAGCCTTGGCTTTCAGTCTAATCCCATGTCAACATATGCAGAGTTTTACCCGCTCTAGCGGAGAAAAATCTTTCTGTGTAGGCCTCTCCTAAAGACCAATAAAGCCTTCTACTTGAAGTATTATTTAACCAAGATTCCCTGCTCTGCTTGTGCCTAAGTTAGAGCTTTGTCCATCACCAGTTTGTTCTTAGAGAACTCCACACAGGTTGCCAGTGATACTCAAACACAAACCTCCTCTAGCTTTCCTTCCCGCGAAACTGACATGATGGACTGAGTGATGCAAAAGCAAAATGGCGGTGGGCTTTTTTCACCCCATATGGTCTTTTGCTAGTAGGATTGTTTTGTTTTATGTTTTATATTAATTATTTTATATTAATAATATTAATTATTTTTAATATTTATTTGTCCTCCATCCAAGGTATCCATTTAGGTCAGAGATATCAAACTCAATTTCATTGACGGTGTGTTTGATCGGGGGGAGGGGAGCAGGAGGGGGCATGGCCCGGGTGGGCATGGCCAGCTCAACGTCACTCATGTCGAGGGTGCCTATGGTGGCTTGAGCGCTCTGTCAGCAAAAACAGGCTTCCAAGCTCCGTTTTTGCTGCAATGGTCTCCTGCACTCCTCTGCCAATGAAAACAGAGCTTGAGGAGGCCATGCGTGGACCTCCCAAGCTCCATTTTTTTCTGGCAAAGGCACCACAGGCCAGTCCTTTGGTGTTTCCAGGATGACCCCATATTGGAATTGGAATTGGAATTGGAAAAGTTTATTTATAGGCCGCCCTTTTCCCTGGGG